ACGCTTGTATTAAGATGACTTATTCTTACTACTACTGCTAGGAGATACATGTCATAATATATATGTCCTAGATATCCATATCACAATTCCTACACTATCCAGTACATTCTAATCCATTTAATCCCGTACTATTTGATCCCACGCCATTCAATTACAAATCTATGATACCCCAGTTATGGATTGCCCTCAAGCTCATGTCCTTGGACTTGCATGAAATAATAATAATTATTATTCGTTATCCTGATTTGGCGCCTTGAGGCCCATGCAGGTATTTTCAGAAGACGGATACTTTAAGTAGGACGACTCAATTTATCGTTTAGAACACTTACACTCACATTTCATTTGCAGATACCACTCGAGGCTAACCCTAACGACGTATAGCCTCTCCTGTGCATACATACCGCAGGGAAAATCGTGAAAACCCTGTAGCTATCCGAGTGTGCTTTCAACATCCCACAAGTAGAATATCACCGCGAGAGAGAGTGGTGAGTGAGTTTTACTGAATTCCAACCAGCTTTCTCCTATCTCGAATGGGGTAGGTGTTCAAGCTATCCAGTGTCTACTTGGGAGAACGGCCCGAATGGTGTATCACTGCACCATCCAACCTACTTGCATGAAATATTGGCATGTATAAATCTGCACAGATCTGAGATCTCTTGGCAGATTGTAACATAGGACACACTTAAAGGAACCGTTATCCAGTAGTTTCCTCTCCCTTTCAGCCAACGAAACGATGGCCATTTACGGCTGTGTATCTACTGGTGAAAGTTCTCAGAGCCGCAGAGTTTGAGCTTATTTTACTACCGACATCAGGACCAAATCTGAAGATATAGCTATCTTTCTCGACCATTCAAGAAGACTGGTCGACCGGCTACAGCAGCCCTGTGTATACCCAAGAGTGTCTCTGAATATACCTCACCCCTCCCTTACATCTTCGCTGATTTGTGCCGCAGGACAAACCGAAGGTCGTGAAAAAATATCAGAAAAGTCTTGGTCGAGAGTGACTGCTGTGAAGGAGCCTAGTCTAGTATCCAAAAGTCATTACGAACGTGGGGTTGTCGAGTAGCTCATTTCGTCCAGATACCCTCCTGGCTAGTAGATTCGGAATTAAGGGTTAGAAGGGATGATATTATTGACGACTCGACTTTTACTTTACTTTCGTGGGCCTATGTTTGCCCACTAATGAGTAGCACGTGTTGTGATATAACGAGGGCCTCTTTGACTATCGTTGTAGCGTTTGGTACCGCAATTTTTTACTTTTTGCCGGCGTCATTACTATTGCCTTGATTGTCATCCACGTTGTCGAATGCATATCTTTGAGGGGGTGAGTTGTGGCTCTGCAAAAGTCTTAAAATCTATTACTCAATCTCGGCTAAGTAGACTCTGTAGTGGGAGGCGGAGGTTGCTAAGAAACACAGCTGACAAGTGTTGAGCTTTAGTTCTCCCCATAGATAGGATTATAGCGGTCTTTCGAGGTAGAAAGGCTCCTTATCCTACCGTCTAGATAAACGTTACATGAGTATAGATACATGTCCTATTTCTATTCAAGGTCACTAAACGAACACTGGTTGGTCTAGACTGTGGGTCGTTTTCTCTGGAGCTAACCGAGTTTGGGATTTGGGACCTACATAGAGGCTCATACCCGTTAGATTGGCTTGAAAGAGAAGAGCAATAAAAATAATTGACTATAATGGATCTACTAACAGATTCATCTTGCGTAGGCAACGAATAAATTTAGTGAGAGCCGCTGTGAACGCCACGACTCAAAAATTCCTCAAAACCACGACGGGTAATTTTAATACAGAATATTTATATAGATTCATAATCTGAGGCAAAATATGAAATAGTTGAGTTAGTTACAAGTCGCAAAATGGAGATAGACCACTCAAGAATTAGTTTATGATTTCTTTGCTTTCAGTAATGAGCCTATAAATGACTAGGTTGCGACAAAGTGGGATAAATGCTATCAAAGATTCGGCTTTGTTAGAGTCCTGAGATTTACTCGTAGTCGTCTCGAGTGCTGAAACATGATGATTTCACGCAATCCACAGGTCCAGTGGAGTCTAGAATGAAGGAACAAGTTTTATACTGAGGGAGAGATGAGTGTTTTGAGACTTAATCAGGCCTTCCCATTTTGGACCAATGCATTTCCATGGTGTTTGAGTCATGATGGTGCACTGGGGAAGAATTCAGCGCGAATAAACACTATGTTTTCCACTGTGGATGATGCAATAAGAGGTGTGGAGGTTTTCTACCTCCCTGTGAATTAGGCGAGAGGCCGGCACTGTTGCAAGGCCATTGTTGCTGAGAGTAGGGCATATAAGGCTTGTTTGATCTAACACTAGTCGAGGCTGTAAACTTCATCTGTTGTATGGAAAGTTGCCACAGATCACGCTCTCCCCGAAATATGAGAAATCCAGCGCTTGAAAGGGCACTTCCCCAGATTGCTGCACTAGTGGTGACTTTCTAGGACATGGGGCAAAGGACGGAGTCGTAAGCCAAGAATTTGAGCCCGGACCAATACGGGCACAATTAGAATACAATGATGTTCCTCGCGATCGAGAAGGCTCGGCACGGCTCGCTATGCAGGCGAAGACAGATCCTCAAGGAGAATGCTTGCGATAACGGCACTGGAGTTCGTCATCGGAAATGAACCTCTACCCACAATGAATCCATAAAATTCCGCAGCAGACCCAGAGCGCACTGACCACTTTTATCGCCTAGGGAAAACCCCAAAAAAAAGGCCGACACGCTAGATTCTGGGTAGGTCGGCGTGCTGTTGAGGCTTCCCAAGCAATCCCCTCTCGGCCACATGCGGAGATGATACATGCATTCTGGAGATGCCGGGGAAAACACGCCATCGTAAGCCGGCTAGCCGTAGTTCATCATTTTCCATATTTGCCGCTTGGAGCCGAAATCTCAGGCCGATCGATAATCTTATTTGAGCTTCAACGGCAGGGGTCAGTATACCGAGCTGGATCTGCTCTTGCAAGCATGCTGGCGACGGCGCTAGTCGCTGTCGACCGAGGGGGTTACGTCAGCCCCGGATCTACCGAGCGATTCCAGAAGAAAGCTTATTCGACCTTGTCGACGGGCAGAAGTTGTGGGGTCGCCAAGTGAGAAGGGTCAGGCCCCCCTCCTTCATCGTCCCACCAGGTCCACATCTAAGCTCGGGCCAGGCCAGCGATCGACGGAGTACGATAACCGTCCCATCTGACCCTCCCCCGATGCGACCTGGGGCCCAGACGCGCAGGTGGACCGGTCCTGAGTCCGTGGCATCGGTACCGGTTCCGGTTTTACCATCGAATTTCCCAGCGTTTTCTATCTTCGCCATGTCCGAACCAATCAAATGGCGGCATAGGTCTCACCATCACTGAGTCCTGCGCTAGATTCCAGACACTGTCCAGAGGGAGGCGAGAATAAGAGCTGCTCTGCAAGGCGTTAAGCTCTCCTTTATTCCTTGGAAGCGAGCAGATATGTCTGTGTCAACATCTAGTTCTACACTGGTCCTCACACTCCGGAATTCGCCAATAATAGACTGCTAATGTGGCTAGGCTTGGCTGTAACACACTCAAAGCTCCAAGCACAGCATAGCCTTGGATACTGCCAAAGTCATCATCCACAAACTCCACAAGTGTGGGGAGGCGCTAACTACTCTCTACCAAAACTGAAGCCATGTGATTATCCAGATTCGCTCGCTCTTTTTAATTTTACCGCTCGATCTCTCGATACCACCTTTGATTCTTCATTTATCCCTGGAACAACGTCGCTAATTGCCCCAAATATCCGGCCCAGAGCCAAATGTTGTGGGTCTCGTCACCATCATTCCTGCACAAGCGTTGGCTCTTGCTACCTGCAATGCAACGTTTTTTCCCAAGTACCTACGTCATCATTTTCTGATACCACTAAGTATCTTGCCATGTCGTAGAGACTCTATTCAACTAAATTTTCTTCAAAATCCTACAGCAAGCCCCACCGCTGTTCTATTGCTCAATATTCAAAGTCCGAGTACATAATCTATAGCCTCTATTACTCACGGTTGACGTGAAGAGTGACGGATCTTGCGAACAGTGGAGACCTCCAAATGTTTATTTGACATGGCTTTCAAATAATTAGTCGCAGCTATTAAGATTTATCTTTGGTCGTACTCAGCAATTTCAGGCTCGAATTTACCCAAGGGCTTGTCACAAGTAGTAAAAATATTTAACGTCTATGATTCCGAACAATGATTTATTAGCCACCTATTACACATGTGCAAGGCTACATTAGTGAAACAGCGGAGAGCACTCATTGTCTACGTTACTAAAATATGCCGCATAGCGCTATTGTCATTCAAATTTTGAAGGATGCGGTGACTAAGTCATTTAATTGCTCAACAAAATGTTCTCTACTCACAGGAATTCTCCCCAAACCACCTGTGTGATTCCATCAATAAGGCTATTTCTTGCTCCGTACCTACCTCCTGCCCTGTGTAACTACGTATCCCAACAAGCCAAGGAAATTCGTAATATCGTTATGCCATGCACTGAAATCAAAAAATACAACCCATAACAAAACTCTGTGTCTGTATGCTTGGCTCAGCCCCGATTGCGAGCGCAGAAAATGAAAGCCAGAAATCAAATTTAAATGCACTCGAAGAAAGTGGAATGATAATAGCCGCGATAAACTTCGTGGGTGAATCGTAGATAGAATTGAAAATTAAATGCATCACTCTTGACGGTCTAGCGAATTGTAGCCATCTCTTGTAGAATGCGCCAACCTTGCAAAATTTATTAAGAGAGTGTGTGAAAATATATGTGATAATTAGTTGTGAAGAGCTGTGTCGAGAAGGTAGTGCGACTAAGGTGAATACTTGGAAAATATCGAGCATCCTGCTGCTTTGTGCCGATGATTGGAAAGTTATCCGAACGCTATTTTTGCGTCATGTGAAAGAAGATGTAACTTTTTGAGAACTCTCCGAGAATTAACTCAAAGGTCAAGAAAGCGTAGAAGACTCCATATTAAAAGATAAGGCGGAGTTCGAGTCCTTCAGTAATCGACCTGTCGGCTGTACCACTTGTATGATCGCTTTCAATGGATAAATTTATCGATATGACCTCCATAACGAGGTCTTGACCTTCGTTGAGACCTGCAATAATATCATCGTCCATTTCTACTTGAAGCCCGCGTTCAAGAATACGAAGAGTCCGAACAATTTTCTGGTGATCAATGTTCCATTTTGCAGCAATTCCTTGCGTAAAATTATTCAAAGTTCTTTCAGAAAGATATATAGCTCTATGATACTCCTGCCTCTCTGCTTGGTTTGGATCTTGTCGCATGATATAAAAACATGCTACAGCCTTTTTAGGTCTTTCCAAGGGTGGCTTGTAGGAAGGGTCGACACCAAGTGCTTCAATCCAACCGTTTAGATTGCCTGTCTCGTCTGTCTTGGCAACTTTTATTGGCTGATCTGGAGGGCTGGCTAAATGTTGTGGATTTGATGAATGTAGCTCTCCAGGTGCCATTGCAGAGTAATCAGACCAATGAGGATTGGCTGGAACTGAGGCTGAAATCCCCTGACCAGATAGGGGTGTATTATTAGAAGAGGGTGACACAAGAGCAGAAGCAATGCCAGAATTGGAGCCACGATCATTACTACGTTGCTGCCAGATTGTAGAAACCCGGGAGTCGACCTTTGTTAAATCTAGTGGCTCACCTGGAAGTGTCACGGGATAGAGATCAGGATCATCTTGATCTGAGCCTCGCAAATATAGAATACTTACGGGACGCGTACTAGTAAACATATCCTTCATAGTTTGTAGCTTCAGATATAGATCTTCCTCCACAGGCAAACGGCCCCCAGAAGAAGACGCTGATGACATTGACCATGTTCGTTTATGTTTGTGAACCTTTCCGGGCCGCTGGCTCGGATGCGATTTCACTATAGTGGATGAGCCCGTGCGTTTTCGCTTGCCGAAATCCTTCATTCCGGATTCTGATTGTGCGATCTGTTGATTTAATTTGTCGATTGTCTTTTTTACGTGAGCAACATCATTTGAAAGTTTGCGCTCCGCGCCGTGGTCTCGGAACAGTTTAACTTTACAGTAAGCAACTTCAGAAAATTCACTACTTTTTTCAAGAGAATTGCTCGATAATGGCTGCGTTTTAGCACAAAGCCGGACTGGGATACCTTTGACTCCTTTTGAGTGGCTAAAATCAGTGGAAAGAAAGTTGAATCGTACCGCGATATTACACTCTGCTAACCCATTTTTACCTGGAGCCCAGATAACAGAGAACCCATCAAAGGAAGCGGTATCAAGTTCCACACGAGTTCGCTTATCATCATTTTCGGCCGGCTGACTTGCTTCGACATATTCAACGGCCTGTAGTTTTCCACCTCTTTGATGAGCTTCATTAGTACCACGCCCTTCCTTCCATAGCTGCCAGCAGGTGGAGGGCCGTTGTCGCTGTTGTTCGTCTTCAAAGGAGATACGAACAAATGTGCGATAACGTGTACCAGCTGATAATGGCATGCTTGGTGAAGTGTCGACAACTGAAAAAGAATACGCTTGACCTTTATTGAGATAAGTTACAGGGATTTCATCTGCATGCTTTATCATAGCTGTAGGTGCATTGAGAGTCACGTGGAACCTGAATTTTTCTGCTGATGAAGGCATTGATGCTAGCCCCATGAGATTGAAGGGTGTGGAGGGATAAGTGATGAGAGACTGATGTTGGGTTAGGTTTCCGTCTATTGACTGTAAGCAGACATCATCATCCATTGGTGACCCATGATGTTCAATGGGGTCATAGCCCGCCTCATGTGGCTGTATAAACGAGGATGGTGTAAAAGATGCTGATTGTTGAGACGGATCTGATGAATGCTGATTAAAAGGGTTATAATTTTGAAATTGAGGTAGCATCTGATGGCCAAAGGTTGCCATATCTAGCATTGGGCCACCATGTAGACCATCTGCAGATGTTGGGAGAGAGAGTGGAGTTTGTAGTCCTAATGCAAGATTCATCCCTGGTGTTTGCAGATCGACAGAAGGGTTTGACCATGGAGTATTAGTACCACCTGGGGTTGGGCTGTAGTAACCAGGAGGTTGACTGGCAAACGGAGAGAAAGCAAACGAGCTTGGATCGAGTAGCGATGGGGTATAGCGCCATGGCTCATGTTGCGCGCGTGGCGTCGATTCAAGATCCTTCATATCCTCATGTCCTAAACTAGGATGTCTAAAGAAGCATTGTCAGTATATAGGCACAGCTTTTTACAGAGGTTGGAAAAAGTCTGAAGCTGGTATAGTTCTAGTGAGAGATAGATATTACGGGGTTTGCAAAGTGATGAGTTCACTGACCTTTCAAGATTTGGCGTTTCCACAAGGGCGCCGCCGATTGAGGTGTTTCCCGAAGTCGATCCGGGAGAAATTGCGGTAGATACTTCGGGAAAGCTTTGGCGGAAATTTGCAATGAAATCTACGCCAGGCTTCAGCGATGATGTTCTAGGATATCGTGTCAGTAAGACAAGGGAAACTCGAATATTCTGCCAAAGAGTACGACAAACGAGATGGGTGGAGAATGAACACATCACCGACACTCGCCGGACCGAGAAGCTTACCGGTTTCGAAACATCTAGAGGTATGAGAGGGAAGCTGTTGGCAGCTCCTCATTTATGGAGATCTATGAAAACGATTCGATCGATAAAGTGAACCACTCAAGAGAAAAAGATGTGCAACAAAGATAGTCAGGATTATTGGAGTAAAAGAACGAGATATTCTCTTCTCGAAGCAATCCGAAGTGAGTCTTTTGTGACAGCCCGTTTTATCCGGGCAAGTGTTAAGACTGTGGTGCTAGATAGGTGCTAATACGATAATAATGGTGAAAACGAAGACGCAGTTGGTGCGGCGGCGATGGCGACAGAGGGCGGTAATTTTAATCCTTGATGAAGGGGATGTCTGTGTGAATGGTGTAAGAGTGTTTTTCAGGACGTGGTGCGTGAATGGTAAGGATAAGCCGTAGCGAGCGTGGACGCGGTGCAAACTGATAGTATGTGCGTGGCACAAAATTAACTGACGTTAAAATAGCGACATGCGGAGGCTGAAGTTATTTATCAGTTATGTCGGGTGGGAGACAGGACTGACGGCGATAGCGTCCACCAGTATGAACGTTGACGGATATCGACATGGGGGCAGATGCTGAACAAGGGGAGGGGGTTCCGTGAGGAAGGGCAGGGCAGGACAAGGGTCATGGGAGATGGGGATGTTAGTGGAGGGCGAGAGAGCTCGAGTCATAGTGTCTAGCGCACTCTGTTATCAGGAGAAAGCTACGGAGACAGGCTTGAGGAAAAGCATCAGTGACGAGAGGGAGAAAGAGAGTGGACTAAAACGAGAGAGACAGACGTGCACCGACCGACGGGGCGGACAGCAAACGTCGGATACCGGACGATGAACTACACTTGGAAAACTCAGCAGGAAAGGGGGGCAATTGCGTCTGAGGGGCAAATATCATGCCAAGTAGTTGGCGACTGAGCGAAGTCTGAGCCGCTGGGGATTTCCTGCCTTCAAGTTCGCGCAAGGGGAAGGACCCTAGAGGAGCTAAGAAGAAGCTTAAAATGACGGTCACTCGTTGTTAAGGTTATTATAGTAAACGGGCGGGAAGTCCTCAGCTCAGGGCTCCCCCTGTCCATGGCAGTTGTTTGGAGAGCTAATTCCAAAAGCTCATCATCAGAGCTACCCCTAACCCAAGCTCAACTTCCCTTATTCGGTACGCAGCTCTATGCTCAATTCAGTCCCCTTGTCTGTCTCTACCATGATCACGTGAAATGACGCTTAGTTGAGGGCAAAAATGGCTACGGGTGCTGCAAAACGCCTACAAATGCATGTTATTACTGCGAGGCTGCGGAGCATGGTGTGTCGTAAATTGCCAACAGTGTTCATGAGCAAATGACAGCGGGGTAGACCATCAGACCATTATATCGGCGTCAACAAGCACAAAATCAGCCCCATCCCCCGCCGTGTCCACCCAGTCAGTCCACTGACGCCGCACTTGCAGCTGCATAACTTGCATAAATGCATGTGCGACGGGGTCAAGGAGACAGTGATGTTCCATTGTTGCGGCCCGACGGGGGGGCTCCAATTACTACACAGCTCATGCCGGGCTGTCAACTTGCAGGGGGCAATAGACGACAGCCCAAGCCCCCGGCGGCTGAATGGCCGTGGACAAGGGAAATGAGAGGTGACCCGATGGCCGCCGATGCGTGTTCGCCTCCGTCTGCTGCTTTTCAGAGTGAGCCGATGATTACAATTTTTCCTATGGCCAGCGCTGCCACGTGATGGTGATAGAGCGCCAAGCAACTCGCGTCGACTGGCGCTCAGGCACCCTGGGCGAACTGGCTTTGCAGTTATCTGGCTCTGAGAATGGTACGAGGAATGCCACGCACACATCTATTACGGTATCGTAGGGTCCTAGCGAGAACGACTCCCCTGTCAACGTTTGATGGGGCTGGTGTACATGTTTTTAGTTTGCCGACAAAGCAGCAACATTAGGCACATCGGACAGCCCCCAGATGGCGGCAAACCGAAATCTTGGTCCCAGGGCTCAGCATAGACCGCTTCCTCCCCCCTTGACACTTGGCTTCTTCCAGGCAAATGAAATCTTTTATCCACATACTCCGCTGAGGCATCGCTGATAGAATTTATCTTTCGTTGTGACTCTGATCGATGCTATTTCTTTGGCCTAGACCTATGATGCTCACTCTTGTCTCACGGGCAGTAGTTACCGTGCGTCGACACCTTTCACGAAGCCTATCCCCAGCGATTCTCGCGCCTGCCAAAAATAAACGTGCGATTCTCATTATCCCATGATCAACTCCATTGGGATCTGTCGAATAGCGCTCGGTGTGTCTGATCGGGCTCCCAGCGTTCCGCCACCACATGCGCGCCGGTAAGTGAGCCGAAATTAAGAAAGACCATTCGGCTCTCTAGCTTTCTTTCCTCACAGCTATCGGGTCCTGCATATAAATACTCCGCCCATCCTTGTGCGCCTCAGCAAGGGCCATATTGCAGTGGAAAACGCGGTAGCTTTATCTTGCGTCTACGTAAAACGGTCACCGACCAGCTGAGATCCAAAAGTATGAAAGCCCAGGGCAAGTCCAACTATAGCAAATTGAGATGAATAGTTTAGATGCAAACCGTATACCCGATTTTACGGTACCTTACCGGCGATCTACAGCTTTGCGCGAGCCATAGAAACCTTGTGGCCAATCATTGAACTGCCATTTTGTCACAGCAATTTTGCTTAGCGAAGCAGCCAGACCTACTCTATAGCGCTTAAGCTTTTATAGATCTGTAGATATCTTTATCTAGTTGCCATATCTTATCTGATGGAAAGCATGTCGTCACTGCTCAAGTTGAGTCTCAGCTCCATCGCTGATATGAGCCGAGAAAATCAGCCATGCCCTCCGCACAAACCTTAGAGTCCGGAGCTGCCTAGTTACTGGAAGCTATGATATTAGAAAAACTCTTGGATGTACCAAAGCGGATTCCAACGTTACATAGTCATCAATCTCTAGCGTTCAAACAATCTGTTCACTCAGTCTAATATCGAGCTGCCTTAACCCAGCAACCGAGCGACTTCAACTCTTCTGGAATAGAGATAATGTGTAAAGTATGCTTGATGAGTAATTAGACTGACTAAGATAATCCAAGAGACTTAGATCTCTTTAGCGGGTAATAATACCGGTCAAAGCCTATCATTAGTGTAGTCAAAAAAGCTGTATCCCTACCCAGCACTCATTCGCCATCGATGGAAATGACACTAGACAAGATAATTTATAGCTTGTATCGACTAATTTGTCTTTCAAACGGTTCCTCATCATAATGACCTAAACATAAGCAGCGGCTTGATGTCACGTATCCAATAAGCTTCTGTGATTCGTCCCATAAGAGAAACGCCTAAACGAATCAATCAAAATCCGTACCGACTGGACCACTTTCTGCATGTTCTGAAGGTATTGTCGATCTTCTAGGTAAGGATGATTCAAGGCTAGCCGGACAGTCCGTTAAGGTTGAGCTTAGGTTGAGAATCAGCGGCTGATAATGATGTGAGGGATGGGTAGTATGGAGAGTTTCGACCTTCCATCTAAACCTCATCAGACCAATATCGCATGACGTATGTAAGGCACCGCTGTATTAACCTGAGGACATACAGCGTATTGCGACGAGCAATGCAGAACAATTCGCCGTGTTTTACCTTGTCAGGCCCCTCGGAGTAGACACCTAGCAAAGTGTCAACATCTCTCTTCCTCCCACTCGACACTTACGTGATCAGTTAACCAGTTTGACGGTTGTCGAATTTTCAGGACGCGTTGCTTCATGAAAAGGTCAAAGTATCCTTAGTAACCCAGCAGGTAAGTCTTAGTCGGGACGGGATGTCTGCCCATGGCCTAGTCGACATTCCCTCCTGTTAATCCTCCGAGAACCTAATTTCGAGCAACCGACATCGTGGCATCGGTCTAGCCACACTCCTCCTAATCCTGGATGATCTCGAACACAGTATGCCCTTAGTTTACAGTCTCAAGGTTGATGGAAGGACTTATTTTGTCGACTAGCAGGGCACGGGAGCTGTAATACACAACTAGTATCCTCGAGGCTAAGATATTTTGAATAAAATCTTCATAAGATTAAATTAACATAAAAAAATACTTGATAATTTCTATAGTTTTAGATTCTTTTGATTGACAAATAATTCTCCTCATATTTCCACTACCTCTAGTCCCAATGATATAATAAAGGAATTATAACTCCAAATTGTTTAATCTAACTTTTACGAAACATTCCTCTCTCAAATTAACCGCTGCCTTACCATCGAAAACTATTAGTTCAATACCAACAAGCTCTTTATTTCTTGTTGGCAGGAAAGTTATTGGCTAGCAAATGTTGAAGAGAAGTATGAAGGAAATAGCAGCCATGAGGTCATCAAGATGATCCAAGCGAAGGTCAGATTCTGCATAAATTTCTGTATCCGAAATGCATGCATCAAATTTTGAAAATCACAAACCCGCTGTCACAAATGATGCACAACGGATCGAGAAGTGGCGGTAAAAGTGGAGAAAGTGACAACGAAAGGACGGGGGTGCACTCGAAAAGCCAGGACCCTGAACATAGTTGTAGGCGCGCCCAACCCAACCTTCCACTGCCGGAAGTCTTTCTCCTACATACCAACCGACGCGGCTCACATGTTTCTTGCCCCTAATCATTGGCGTGGAAGAAACAATCTGACTAGATTAAACCCTCATTAACACTCCCCATGCACGTGCTTTACACGTGCCTAAATACCGTTGCCAATACTTTCTAAAGTCACAATCTCCACTTCCCCGGCCACCCGTGGCGTATTACTCGAAAGACGTCTACATGCGCCCAACCTTTTGTGGCGTAGATAAGTTTCCCGACAATTGACGCTAGGAACTGCTTGATAACATGGGACTCGGAAATGCGAGAAGCCGTGAGGGGTCGACAAGTTAGCGGGGGACAAGGAGTTCTTTCATGCTACAGTGGGTATTATCTGACGATACTGCTAAAAAAATGCGGTTATTTCCTTCAGTATAGCGTGAAAAATGATACTGCTATCCCAATGACCGGTGAATTCATATGATGCAAACTGTGCCTCAAAAATAATTTACACACGTCAGCTGGTTCATCACTGTTGAGAGGACGCTTAGTAATTTTTAGGGCTACTTCGATCCGATAAATCACGATATACCTGCGGATATTTCTACAAAAAGAAACTTTACGTACCTTTTACATATATATCTTACCGCTCATCTGAACGCTATGTCTGAATGCAGGCGGAGAAAAGACCTGAACATTCATGTAAGGATAGGTAGTCGATGTTTAAAAATAAAATAAATATTCTTTGATTTGATAGGATTTTCTGCAGATTGTCTCTACCTGTGAGTAGTGAAGGATCACGATTGTAGTAAAATTCGGCGTGTGTTGTACCATGGGATATTACAATATCTCTTCACTCTCCTATCTTCACCAGGCACGATACATCCTGCAGCGAGCTTTACTCCTAAACCGTAACTGAGACGATATAGATCACAGAGAAAAAAATACATTCAGGCAGCACGGGTGTAAACCTTCCTCAATCAGGTTCTCAAGTATAATTCTAATTTCTAAATAAAGATTAAAATTTTTGCATACCTGCTTTGGTATTAGATATCCTAAAAATAGTCCGTGATGTAGAGATATTGCGAAAACGGCCGAATATTCCGATCAAAACTTGTAAATTATTATTAGAGGTGAAGGAGTCTACCTTTTCTGTTTGTAGAGTTTGGACAGCAGCTGTTGTCTTACCTTGTAAGGACCACCTTGGTTTATAGTATCGTTCGCTATCTATTTACCAGGTCTTGCTAGGGTTCTAAGCGTTGAGATCTAGCATGTTTCATCACAATTCGTTAGCACCTATTATCTCCTCTGTAGTCCTGAAAAGATCCCTCTTAGTTAAATAAGGCTGTTGCAGGAATGAGACTCCAAGGTATGGTTTTAAGCTATCGTATCAAGGTTCATGTCGAATATTATGTTGAACAGATAAATTCATAAATCAATTATGCTTTGTAATGCTCACACAAGTGTAAAATTAATATTTTGAAGAGGATTCCCAACAGATATATTAGGGCAGGCTTTTTCCAATGTATTAATTCTAGCAAAGCCCCCCAACAATATTGGCGTTCAAAACCAGCCCCGTTATTGGACATGAGTCAAGTAAAGGCTTCATATAAACTGTCATTTCATCCGGCAAGGGGTCATTATTTCTTCAGTATTCGAGACTGCTGTTCAGAAAAGGGAAATTAAAATTTTGCGCTTCATTGGAGTGGATGATATTCCGTTTTATCGAAACCACCAGCTTATTATCTTGAATAGAAATGGCTAGCCAGTGTCGCAAGTTTATTCAAATACTTTATTTAAACGTCCCAAGTCAAATCCTAGAGTCCGATGGGTGGATATTTGGCGGGAATAGAGTTGATTAGTCCTCATAGCACGCCTCATTCATTCGCACTACTTCTGTCACTCAAATTTATTATATGCAAATAATATATTCATGATAGAATAATAATAAAAGAGAATTTTAAGCCGAGGCAATGCGTTATTCTTGGCCTCGAACCCAGCATCGGAAAGGTTCGCTAGCAGAACCTCTTAACCATCTATTTCCTGAATATTTCAACTAATCTGTGCTCGGGTATCCAAATTATTGGTCTTACATTCCTTTTTTTGTCAAATTTAAAATCTAGCTCAATCACATAATAGGTCTTCCAGCTCGATTCTCATTACTTTCGAAATGTTATTTTTCAGTCCTATGTCGCTTCTTTTACCTAAATCTCATGGCTATTAGTCGTAACGAAAATGAGACAAGTAGTTTAAATATTCTATTTCATTAACAGATATTTCTTAAATAACACAGGAAAAAGCTATTAATCAATTTTGAATATTTTGTTCTGTTTGCATAAGGTAGAATTATTTTTGGTACTTCCCCTGGATGTAGCAGAAGAAACCAACAGTAGAAGGCATACAAAAATTCAGACGACAGCCAAGTTCAATCATCTCAATCATTCCTATTTCGGAATATGGACTCACGTGTCAAGTGATTCTCTTATATTTTCTAGAATTGAACTTTATTCTGGGCGATTCGTACACAGTTACAGTCAGTAGGTCACAGCTCACCCATACATGTATCTGCAGCAGACAAATAATCGTGCAAAATCGCCTGTTTCTTACCTTGCTCAAAAATTTAACAGTATTTGCGCGCAAGTGGGGAAACGTGGGTATAGTTTTGAATTGTCAGTCTCGCTTGGTGCAGGTGTTTCGTCCTTATCTCTGTGCGGCGTCCCTCATGGCGGGGAACTCCGACCTAATGAACAGCTGTACCATAATTACGAACCATTCGACTGGCTAACTTATCTCAATTTCACTCAACCACCGTTCCGATTAAAGCAGCTGGCCGCGAAGTAAGACCTATCCCGAACGAAGAAACATGGCATCAACCATATCAGAATGCCATCAGTCATCAGTTATCCCCAGTGTACCATCCTCACATTCCAGCATATCAATAGCCGGCGATTCCAATGATACAGAAAAGCCGCCAGACGAAAATTCCAAGATTCGTTTATTTATGGGTATCCTAAAAAAGTAAGAGGAAATCTAAGTGATGTAGTGAATAAACTCTGACTTAAAAGTTTCGGGATGGCTGGCTGACTTTTCATTCAACGTAGATTCGTCGGTGTCGCAGATATAGCTACCGTACGCTTCTCTTTACCCGCACAGCTTCTAGAGCCCACGCCAAACTTGGAGTACTGGAACTATCTAGATCAACCAAATACTTTCATTGATATTGGAACTTCAGATGATCCCCTGGACCGAATGCTAGAAGTTTTGAGATTTTGGTTTACTAAAGATTTAAAATATGTAAAGGGCAAACCATGTAAACCATACAATTCAACTCTTGGTGAATTTTTCAGGGTAAAATATGGCCGATTATGCGGAAAGTGTTGTTGCTAATGAGATAAGTGTAACTGGGAAGAAGAAGATAGCTTTCCCATGGTTTCAGAGCTCAGAGCTGCCGCAGGCGATAGCTCCGAATCCTCTGGCAAGTCAAAACACTCACGCAACTCCTCAAAAAGCTCGCTTTGGAGCTCTTCTCGAAAGAAGACCGACTCTATCAGTTCCATGAAGAAACTCACTGGTGAAAAGGTCAGAGTCTCATACTTGACGGAACAAACTTCGCATCATCCCCCAGTATCAGCCTTTTTTGTCGATTGCCCTGAGAGAGGCCTTACTGCATGTGGCTATGACCAAATAACTGCTAAATTTACTGGAATGAGTATTAAAGTTTCCCCTGGCGAGCATAATTTTGGCTTCTTTATAAACCTTCAGAAGCGTGATAACGAAGAGTATCACCTTACACATCCCGTTGCTTATCTTGGAGGATTTCTCCGTGGTAATTTAACCGTCACAGTTGCCGAGCAGTGCACCATCACCTGCGCGAAAACAAGGCTAAAGACGATTTTGCACTATGTTGAAGAGAGCTGGTTGGGAAAACCACAAAACAGGGTAGAAGGTGTTATTTTTAAATATGACCCCATGAACGACAACATTACTAAAACGAAAGATGTTCCAGAGAAAGATATATTAGCCCGTATATCAGGAGCATGGAGAGAGATAATTTATTTTTCAATCGGACCTAAAAGTGTGCGTCTTTCAAAACTTCCTACACTTACAATATTAACCGATACAGAAAACCCAGGTTCCACTAATAGATCTCGGTCCACTAAACATAGGAAGAAAGCTCTTGCCTCCTATTACACAACAACTTGAAAACGAATCTCGTCGGCAGTGGGCTCCCGTTACTGATGCGATCAACGCACGCCAATTTGGACTAGCAACAAAACTCAAGCTCGAACTCGAAGAAAAACAACGTTTAAGGGTAAAAGAACGCGAGGATAGAGGCAAGCAGTGGTCTCCAAATTTCTTTGTAGACGCTATGACACCCGAAGGAAAACCTACGCTTACGGCCAAGGGTGTAGAGGCCCTATCGGCATTACAGCGTGGTGAGTGGGAGCTGTCAGAAAACTAAATACTTTGCTGTGCTGGCTGGAAACTGCAAGATTAATGAAAAGACTAATGGAACCTGATCTTTTTGATCGAGTATATAATTGGTAGATCTGCTCTACTTTATGAAATTAATCAAGTCGAATCTAGATAATGGGAGAAGCTGATCATGGCAAAACCTCTAAAGATCTAGATTGGAATGGAGTCAAGTTGCATGCACGAGATATTACGATTACGAAAAATTTACTGGATAAAGCTCTTGTAACTTTCTAAATAAATCTTTACCTAATATCTTAACTTTTATGGATAAACGTAGTGGAACCTAGGGTGGTGTTTCATGGTGAGTTACATGCCAAAACACAACTTGGTGTCAGATCGAGTTCCCAAACGGTCAGTATAGACTCAAGAACATAGGCTCGTTTCATAGGAATTGCGTAGTGACACTGTTGAAGACAAAACTCAGGGCTGAGCTATTATCTGATGTACATATATACCCAGCCTGAAGGAGTATACTTCTTCACGCAACGTCTTCTGTTTATACTGATACCTATTATTCACATACTTATCTCTTCTCTTAAAAAGACCGTCCTTCTTGTACCAACCTCACCTATCACTCACTTTATCTAAACCTCTTACGTGAACCCTATACCTTACACTGATTTGATACCTCCTCCTCCTAGGTATTATCACTATACTTGTGAAGGGACTAATCACATTAGCTATTTGCATGAATAAATGAAAGTTTATTCGTAACGGGCAGAAGCCCTGCACTTAAAGAGATGACACGGAGAAGACTAGCTTCTCGGCGACTATATAGGACGATAACTCAGTTTGAAATCTGGACTACTCATGTACTGGGTGCATTCGCTGATACCACTCGAGACCTTGGTGCTAGGGACCTTCCCCCTTCCCTCAACCGTTAATAGCCACCAAATGGAAAACAGGAAAAACCTTTGGCTACCCTAACATGCCTTTGCCATCTTGTATAAAGCCGCCGCGCGAGATATGGCCACACAGTTCTCCCTTTCTCGAGTGAGGAAGGTGTCCAGGCCAGCCAGACTTTAATTCTGGGAGATGACGACCAGGAGGCGGACCAAAACACTTTCCATCGTTGCCTATTTTTAGAGTGTCGGTTACACTATCCAAAATCGTTGCTTCTGCACCCTTAGACAATCTTAAGTCGAAAACACTCGAAAAATGTGCGTCCCAGCATGCTCATTTATGACCTCTTCACTCGTTCGTCCCACGTCTCAGCTGCCTTTCCTCCCTCAAGATGTGAAGCCACATTAGAGCAACAGTCCCCCATATACCAAGACCCGAGCTTTGTAAATTTTGACTTGAATTCCTCCTCGCAGGTATACATAGCGTCGTATGTGCGTAGCGGGAGATGGCCGGTTTTTGATGAGGCAAATGCCCGATGTAATTGGAGTGACGCCATTATTGGGATACGAGGCGTGCTGGTGTAGTAATATTGAGGTGGAGGACTCGCGTGAGAATGATAGATCTGACATTGACGAGAAGTTGTCGATTTTAGATGTGCTTGTGAGTGTTTTCGACTTCGATTCGGATGCAATTCTTCTTGGCTATCCCAGATATGCAGCGCAGACCGAGCGATTACACCGGAACCACTGGAAGGTGAAGAATTCGTCTTTGCCGGCGCTATTCGCACGAAAGTGTGTCGTAAAATGGTTTATATTCTGTATAAAGTAAGAAGTGCTACGAAGACTACATGCTTATCGGGGGACTATTCTCAACACCTGTCAGCGGTGTCCCCTACGAACCTCCAGCTCTCACTGTAGAGTCTGCAGAGCCGAGATTGAGTAACAGAGTCCTCACTTCTAAGAGGATTCCAAATCGCTTTCGCGGTCTGTATCGTCTTCATCTCTCAACACATTCCCCTATCACCATTATCATGAAGCTAACCACGATCAGATCAGATGGTAGGGTCGGAGCTCTACTCATCACCAAACCTTGATCACGGAGGAAAAGCCATCCGATGAGTTTCCGGAGCGTACCCAGCACCCGATACAGAGATGGTGGATTGGATCAAGTCGGCCTCGACTGTTACAAAGAAGGGAGACATAGATGAATATGCGCACCTCATGTGGTCCCGGTGTCTAGGCCTCGCCTGGCTGGGGCTGCAGGTTTTTTTTTGAGACTTTTTCCCGTGCACGCAGTTTCCATTGCTACCATTTTTTTTGGGGTAGAAGGTTCCGTGGAAAGGGTGGCCGAATTCCACGGGTGAACACTGAGCTGAATGGCTATTCATCAAGGGGAATATATCAATGATCTTTCAAGTAACAAAAGAGAATAGGAGCAGTGCACAAGGTGTGGCCTGGGTCAGAGAGGAGCCCGATGTGCTAGATAGTCATAGACTCAAGTAGCACAATAAACACAAACACACTACATGCTTATCTACTCGATACCGCGCGTCGCGTATGGATTTATGCAGGAGTTATCCTTTACACAACTCCCTAATCCAGCCAAGCCATGTACTCCAAGACTTCTCGATAAATGAACCGGATAAACTCCGGTCAACTAAACAAGACGTTAGCCTGTAACAATACTGCACGCATCTACCATACTCGTATCCTACAGAAGACCGATAACACAGCGTCTTGAGATTGATCCAAGTCACTACTTTCTATCATGGTCTGTGTCAGTGCATTAGCTTTCTATCATCTGTAATATATATGTTTTGTGCTGGTGATAGCCAGGATTACGATGCACAAGGCTAATGATCACTGAGATTGAAGAAAGAGATTTCCAGGTGATCCCATGATAAGCAGAGGAACAATGGAGCAGTTTATGGAAAATGTTTCTAGATAATACTTCCAGATGGAGGAGACTAGAACATCCGTGATACTGTTTTGGGAAAATAAGGCGAGAGTCTAGCTACCTCAGATTGTTAGAAATTGACAAGGATTTCTAGGAGGAAATATCTCGAAGAACAAGTGTACAATTTCGGACTAGAATTTATTGATAGTTGTATATGATGTCGAACTCTCTTCTCAATATGAATTAATAATATATAATACTCCGTTAACTTAATTTAAAATGTACAAATAAGCCAATCCTCATATACAGATCCCCGAGGCTTTTGTGATCCCAAACTCCAAGTGATCTAGCAACAACCAGCCACTCAATTATTGCAAGGTAGCATTTCCTAGTCACTGCATTTCAGATACCACTGAACCTCATGTTGCCCATCTAAGATTAACCATATGCAATCGGGTCAACTGAATTGATCTTGATGGTCATACTTAGAAATCTAAAGCCTCATATATACTGTTAAAGATTTAATCTGTCCATAACTCTGAGCTTGATGATGGCCAGCAAGACGAAGAATATTATGAACTGTCATCTAAGATAAAAGGGCGAAAAGGGCATTAATTAAAAGATAGGACCGATATAGTAAGGGGTGATTAGCCCAGAGTAGGTATGGGCATTGTGAATGTAGTCGGAAGCATCATCATATTAAAGAGGAGTCAAGTGCGCGATATATATATACACGTGTCCTATCCCTGTCACTAATTACCAGACCCCGCACTGCCATAAACACCATCAATCTCTGCTATCCATCGCAATCCCGAGTATCAATATGAGTTACTATTATACGGTATGTTTGTACGGGTCGACATCAAGATAGAAATGTTAGCATATACTAAGTCTAGATTTCCAACACAGATGAGTATATAATTAGCGCTTTCTACCTCCTAAATCCTCATAATTCTGATTACCAAACATATCAGCGGTTGACATTGATTCATCAATAATCATCCCTAAAACTCCTGCCAATAAATCCTCCGTGAGCTCTTATCTTTACAATATATACTCCATCTATTCTTCCTATCGTTTCTCGCCCTGTTACTATAGATCAATTACTCCTTGACGTCAAAAAGGCTTTACCTGCTCTTCTAGAATTGACTTCCTCGTTCTTGGGGATGTATCTGTGAGAATACGCTCTTAACTAGAGGTAGTATTTTCCGTCTCTGATTCTAATAGTGGATATCTTGGAGCAGTTGAAACTTGTGGTACATTCTTTTCAATCTCTAATGACTGACTAGTTTCCTCTCGAGCTGTTGATCGGTCTGGTTACCTGGAATTAAAAGTTGAAGGTTTTGATAACTCCTCTAATCTAACAAAAAAGTATGAAGTCTTGTTACTCTAGAAGTTAGACGCTCTTTGTTGTGAAGATAGGTGATGTCTATCCCCGAACATGTTATCTTCATTAAATCTGACGTGTAGAGAAAAGCTTTCTATCCATTCCAACCTTGTACTAGAGTCCAGTGTAGATGAAATATAATGAAATTCCTGATATTTGCTTGAAAACCAACGAGCAACTCCGTCTCTGGTCATGGAGAAAATTTGTCAGGATTTGGATTTATATATTTGTGGGCACGACATCCGAGGCATGGCAAATTCGAGAAGTCTATCTTTTCTGGGTCTGGTTGATTTAATCCTTGAAGAGAGTCAATGAGGGGCACCATTTTTGTGCGTAGGCAGTTGAGCCTATTAAAAATAAAGCAGGCATGTTTGATTGACTGTGGCCAGTAACAAAATGGCATACGAGCGTCGATGAGGATAGACCTTGCCCTCGCCAAGGCGACTTTATCAGCAACTTCTGATGCACTATTTTGTTCTGGTGTATCTGGAGCGGATATGTCAGTGCGAATTCCGTGTTGCTTGCAGTATGATTTTCTACGCGTGAACTCGGAGCCACCATCTCTAAAGATTATTTTGAAGCGTTTGTAATACTGACACTTTTGATCTTTTTTCCACTGTGTTAAAAGTGATGCAATCTGGTCTTTTAAATGTATAGTCAATGCCCATCGTATGCTGTTGCAAAGATAAGAGCTCACGGAGGATTCATTGGCCGAAGTTTTAGGGATGATTATTGATGAATCAATGTCAACCGCTGATACATTTGGCATTCAGAATTATGAGGATTTAGGAGGTAGAAAGCGCTAATTATATACACATCTGAGGTAGCTAGACTCTCGCCTTATTTTCCCAAAACAGCAT